GTAGATAAAATGGCACATGGAGAGAAAAAAAAACTTTGAAGCCATTTTCCATAAGAATAGACCGGACAAAAAAGACCTAATAAAAGGTCTTTCAACTTGTTGTTATGATGATCATCTTCCGTAGTGTAGATGTGATTGAAGAAGAATCAAGACAAGTGAACATGGAGACATATGAGAGTTGGGTAGAGATTATTATAATTTAAGAACCAAAATTGACTTTTTCCCTAACTAATTAAACAAGCTTCCACGACTCTTCTTCTTCTACCATTTGCTTAACCATGTGATCTTCTTCTTTCACTCTTTTGGGGGTATCATTTATTCAGACTAGTAGCCTAAGAACCGCTTTATAACCTTTCTTTGACCTTCTCCACAAAAACTCTAAAGTGGTCATGACAAGATACACGTACGTACTTTGGCCCGACCTGTTTCCGGAAAGAAAAAATCTTTTACATTTTTTTGTCTTTTGAATAGATATTTTTTTTGTACTTTGGATACTTACGATATTTTTGTACTTTAGATATTTTTGTGTTTGAGTGTTCAAAATCAAACACCTATATTTTCTTTTGATTGTCGAGATGGATAGTCTACATCCACATTAATCCCCTGAAATGGATGTTAGTATTCCATATCGCTAGTGTGAAATGACTAAAATCTAATATATATGTGATAGTGGCGGGTAATTCTTCTTATCGCCAACTAGTTCTGAATTTGAAATTTAACATGATATAAGAGTCCGAATTTAATCAAATAGAATGTTCCAAATAGGACGTATTTTCGATTTATCATCTCGAATGCGCGATGTAAAATGAGATTTTTAAAGTAATATATAAGAAATATGAACATTATATTTATTTACAAGTGATTTTTTAGTTAGAAATCCATAAAACTTAATGTTGTATCAAAGACGAGTCCTTGAACCAAATTATTTATTTTGGTAGTTGGGTGTTACGTATTTTAAATTGGGTACGAATAACAAAACACAATACATGTTACTTAACACGTTTCGATGGGGTACTTTCTACACGATCGATCGTACATACAAAACGAAACAGAAAATGCATGTAAATAATGTTCAAGTTAGCGACATTTACGTCTATACTTGAAACAACACGTTAAAAACAACATTGGAAAGTCAATATCACAAAGATAAAAATGAAGTGGCGTTAACATGCATTGCCGCTATTAATAACGTTTTTAGTTGAATATGTTACCATTCAAACAATAAAGTCAAATAATATCAATATGTTAACCGGCTTTAGCAGCTGAAACCAGAACCAATGTAGCCATTGGCCACATGCATGTAGGACACACACTACTTGTAAACACCCCAACATTGATTAAATTACTGCTTCCTAAGATCCAAATGCTTTGCCAAAACCATGTACTTGTAGGTCACACACACTACACATAGTTTAATTTTTAATAATAAAACTAATTTCTAACTTCACTATATATAAGACCTACATTTCCCTTTGGCTCATAAACCAAACTCTCAAAACAAGATCAAGATATCTTAACTTGAGCCATTAAATTCAAAGCTTTTGTTTTCTCTTAGAAATGGCATTCTTGATGAGTTTTTTTGCCACCAAGCAAATAATTCACCGGTCTTTTACTACTGAATCATCAACGCCGAAAGGATTCTTGGCCGTGTACGTTGGAGAAAATCTGAAGAAGAAGAGATTTTTTGTTCCGGTTTCTTACTTGAACAAACCATCTTTCCAAGCTTTATTGAGGAAAGCAGAAGAAGAGTTTGGTTTTGATCATCCAACCGGTGGTTTAAGCCTACCATGCGATGAAGCTTTCTTCTTCAATGTTACTTCTCAGATTTGTTGA